CAGGCAGTGGTGAGCCAGGCTGTAACGGAAGACCAGTAGACGACGGGAGAGTAACAACCTGACGAAGAGCAGAGTCAGGCGGCGGCAGAGACGACGGAGATGGCGGAGCGAAGAACAGTCGTGTCGGCGCAGCTGCACCAGTACCGGCAGCTCCAGCAGCTCCAGTACCTCCAGCAGCTCCAGCACCTCCAGCAGCTCCAGAAGCTCCAGCCCCAGAACCGACACCTCCAGTCCCAGGGTCTCCAACCTCAGTGTCTCCAGCAGCAGCACCCCTAGAACCAGCACCTCCAGTCCCAGGGTCTCCAGTCTCAGTGTCTCCAGCAGCAGCACCTCCAGACGCAGCACCCCCAGCCCCAGCAGCTCCAGTACCTCCAGTACGAGCACCTCCGGGACCAGCGACTCCTCCAGTAGACAAAGTACCAGCACCACTCCTAGCTCCAGCGACGTCAGCAGAAGTACCTCCAGCAGCAGAGCCCCGGGCTCCATCAGCGCTATCCGGACGGCGACCGTACCAGTCGTGCAGCTGCTGTGAGGTGAGAGGCACACGTGGACGAAGGCGGCCACTCCAAGGAGACCGCGCAACAGTAGACTCAGAACCCTCAGCGCCAGCACCCCCAGCAGCTCCAGAACCTCCAGGCGCAATACCTCCAGGCTCCTCACGTGTAGGTTCAGTACCCTCAGACTCGGCACCCCCAAGCTCAGCACCTCCAGGCTCCTCACGCGCAGGCACAGCACCCCCAGACTCCGCACCCCTAGGCTCAGCACCTCCAGGCTCCTCTCGCTCAGGCTCCCCACCCTCAGACTCGACACCCCCGAGCTCAGCACCTCCAGGCGCCTCTCGCTCAGGCTCCGCACCCCCAGGCTCAGCACCCCCAGAGACAGCACCCCGAGCAGGACCACCTCCAGCAGGACCTGAGTCACCAGTGACCTCAACAGGCGCAGGTACGGGAGGGGGTCTACCTGGGGAGGACCTGGAGCGAGAAAGAGCGGAGGGGGGGGGCGAGAGGCAGTGCGGTAGGGAAAGAGACGGTAGAAGGGAACAGACTCGTCAAAGGTGACGTCCTGAGACGCAAAGACACAGCGCGAGGTGGGGTCGTAAAACTGCCAGCCAGGCGCGTCAGGAGGAAAACCAAGGAAGACGCAGGGAATGGCGCGAGCAGAGAGCTTGTCCGCGGTGAGATCGCGGACAAAGGCACGAGCACCCCAGACCCGGAAATGCGACGCATCGCCAACCTCCCCCGTCCACAGCAGCGTGGGCGAGGTCTCTGGCAAGGAGACACGGGGCCAGAGGTTGAGCTGATGCGCGGCGTACCGGACCGCAAACGGCCACAGGAAATGGGGAGCCGCCGCATGGATCATGGAGGTACGAGCGACCTCCATGACTAAGCCAATGCGGCGCTCAGCAACCCCATTCTGCTGCGGAGAGGCCGGAAGCGTGAACGACTGGGTGATGCCGTGCTCCGCACAGAAGGCTGCCAAGAGGTCGGAGGAGAACTCACCACCTCTGTCAGAGTGCAGACGCAGGACAGGAAAGTCCCGCTCGAACCGCTCGCGGAGCTGGAGACGCACAGCGCGGATCCAGGGGATCAAAACAGCAGGGACGTCCCCCTTGCTGCGCAAGGGGAAGACCGTGGTGTAACTTGTGTAGTCGTCGACAACCAGCAAAAAGTACCGCTCACGGCCCTGTCCCTGGACGCGGGCTGGGCCCCACACGTCCAGGTGGAGCGTCTGCAACGGAGCCTCTGTGGGAGGGAACGAGGAGGAGTGAGGAGCGGCGCGCTGCTGCCCCTCGACGCAGGGAATGCAGGGCGGCGCAGGCGAGGGAGGGAGGGCAGGCAGAGACCTGGGAAGCCCAGAGACCAGGGAGCGAGAGTGCATGCTACGAAGGCGAGGCAGGGAGGGGTGACCAAGGCGGTGGTGCCACAGGAGCGTGTCGTGCGACAGGCGGCGGCACTCACACTGGGTAGCTACCTGAGCAGACGCGTACAGCTGAGGAGACAAAGGGGTGTAGCGTGAAACAGTGGTGAGGGTGTACAGACTGGACCCCGGCTCACGAGTGAACGTGGCCAGGTGGCGGCCAGTCTTGGAGCACGTGCAGATCGCCACACGCTGCCCTCCAGGAGTCCAGGTGTCAACCCAGTGATCCTGGAGGACGGCGTTGCTCACCAGGTTCGTAGAGAACGAGGGGATGTGGAGACCTGACAGCTCACCAGACGGGACCGCCGGGCACGGGAGCACAGTCGTGGCTCGTGCAAGCACTGGGCCCCCAGAGGGGTCAGCCAGTGAGACAGGGACAGGTGCAGGGAGGGGAGTGACGGTGGTGCTATCGCGAAAGAAACAGCGGGAAGCACCAGAGTCAAGTGTAAACGTGTGCAAGGCCTGAGCCGACGCAGTACCAAGGGGAGCAGACTCACTAGCACCTAGGGCTGCAGCCCTTATACCGGGGTCAATACCAGGGTCAGGCGGCACACACAAGTAGCAGTCACCCTCAGCACTAACAGTCAATGCATACATGGCAGCAAGAATAACATCATAGTCCAGATCAAAGATAGGCACATCACGCCTAAGCAGCTCTGCCCAGTTGGGGAACTCAGTAGCATCAGGGTACTTGGCGCGCCAGGCGTCACTAAGCCTAGCGAAACAGCGGTACTCAGTGTGGAAACCGTCGTAGGTGCGACCCTGGCGGGGGCCAGTACGAATGACATAGGGGCAGCGGTCAGAACCCCGAGACGCCCCACGCCCAGCATACCAGTCATTGAGCTGCTGGGAGGTGAGGGGAGGACGCTGCTGCTGCTGCTGTTGCTGCTGCTGGCCACGAGTGGGGCCACCCTTGCCAGATCCACCCCCGCTCCCACCTCCACCGCCACTGCCGCTGCTTCCTCCCCCACCACCTCCACTGCCGCCTCCACCGCCCCCGGTCCTGCCGCCACCCCACCCACCGCCTCCACCCCCACGGCCACCCCCACCACCTCCACCACCCCCGCCGCCTCCACCACCGCTCCCTCCACCGCCACCTCCGCCACCCCTGCCACCCTTGCCGCCCTTGCCACCGCCGCGCTTCCCACCAGGAGCGGAAGCCGCTGCGACCTTCTCCGCACCGAGGAGGTCGACTGCAGTAGCAGCAGAGGCGTAGGAGGGGTCAAGAGGGGAGGGGGAGCACCCCTCAAAGAGGGGAGTGCGGGGAGTGCCACGAGCAGCACCGACAGCGAGGATGTTCTTCTCTGCTGCGACCAGCTGCTGCTCGAAGTCGTCCAGAGTGATAGTTGGAGGATCCTTGGCAAGGAAGTGATCCCTGACAGAACGAAGAGTGTCAGGGAGGCGGGTGACGAGGATGTAGAGGGTAAAGTACAGCGGGGGGGTGTTCGTGGCGAGGAACTCGTCGGTAAGAGCGGCTCGAAAGCGGGCGTCACTAGCGCGGAGGTGAGTGATAAGGTCGGCAGCAGTGTGAAACGAGGCTAAGTCTGGGAACAGGTAAGGCAGGATGAGACTACCAACGGTGGCTGTGGCCGGGGCGGAATAGCGGGCAACGACAGCATCATACAGCGTCTTAGCAGTCTTAAGCTGGTTGAAATGCGCGCGCTCAGAGATCGGTAGGTGATTGCGAATAACAAGGCGCGCGACTGCATCGCGGAGCTCCCACTGTGCTCGATCAGGGGCAGGAGCATTCTCAGCGGGAGTAGGGACAGTGCCAGTCACATAGGCTAGCAGTGATACTCCGTCTGCGACGTCAGTCATAAGGTAAAGCCGCAGATCACTAAGCCAGGTGTCAAACTCGATGGGGCGGCCGTCAGGCTCAAAGGCGAGAACAGTAAGGGTCGCCATGGTTGCAGCGCAGGCAAAAGTAGCAGGCTCAGGCAGCAGGCTCAGGCAGCAGGCAAAGGCTGCAGGCTCAGGCAGCAGGCAACTGTAGCAGGCAGGTGCTTAAGGCAGACACGTGCTCAAGGCAAGTAGGCAGGCAGACGGTAGAGGCGCAAGGCAGACACGAAAAACAGGGTAAACCCTAAACCCTGGCGGCAGGTACAGGCGGACGCAATGCACGGGGCAGCAATGCGCTGCACGAGAGGCGAACGCGACGTGCAGGGCCTAGGTGGGCTGCTCGCGGACGGTAGGTGCAGCGCGCAGCTCTGGAGCAGGCCGCGCAGGCAGCGAACGCGACGCGCGGGGCCTAAACGGGCTGCGCACGAGCGACAGACAGATGCGACGCGCGGGCTGCAGACGGGCTGCGCGGGGCCTTAGCGGGCTGCGCGAGGCAGGGACGGGCCGCGCGCGGGCTGCGCGGGCTCAGGGCAGGCTGCGCGGGCGACCGACGGGGTGCGACGCGGCTGGCAGCAGCATTGCGCGCTAAAAAAAAAGGCGTGCGCATGCAGCCGAGGCGCGCGCGGGCAGCAGGCTAGGCAGACAAACAGGCAAGGCAGGCAAGCAAGCCGTTGGTGAGATAACTTAGTAACAGGTGGGCCCTTAAGCATAGGTCCTAAGAACCTGCTCTAGATGCCATGTCGAGATAGTTAGGCAAGGTTGTTTTGACTATCGAGAGAAATTGGTACAAGTAGAACCCTAAAGTGTTATCCCCTATAACATCTTCCCCACTATAGCCTACCAATATATAACACATATATATCATTTGATAGTTAGAATGTTACCAAACAAAACGGGAGGTTTAAAGCGCAAACATTAACACGTACATGTCGTATCTGGAACTTCAAGTTGAGCAGGTTCAGCTCCTTCAGCACATCGGCCAGCAAGTAGAGTAAGAAGTGGAATTTGAAACTCATCACTGTCTTATACATCTTCTTGTCGAATTCCTGCAGGACGATCACAACAGCAGGGAACACCGCGACGAGTCGCTGGATCGCATTGCCTCGGGAAAGCCACCTCACGTCCTTTATCCCCTGCATCTCGAGATGCGTCTCGCAAATGACCTCTTGGAGCTCCTTGAATCGCGTGTGAACAACGAGGCGCCCGAGAATGTCGACCACGGACCGGACAGCCTTCTCCACAATCTAAAGGTCAGGATACGCGGCTGCTGCATCTTTAGCTGCCAGCGCCTCCCTGCAATTTTAAACAGAAAAGAAGTCAGTACACGGTTGATACGCGCATCAATAAACAACCCGGACGAACTCACCTGTGTGCGACACAGTGACACGAAACGAGATGAGGAGCCTTCGAGCGCAGGCACGCGACCAGCCCGTTGTGCTGTCCAATCATCACTGAAGCACCGTCCGTGCTCATACCGGAGATGCGCAGCAGATCGATCCCCGTTGTCTCAAAATGCGTCAGCAGGCCGGTCAGCAGCAAGGCGGCATCACACTGCTCGACCGATAGCAGGGTGTAGAACTCCGTGACTGGAAGATTCTCGCGCAGGAATGTCAGGTAGACGAACATATGATTCCCGCGCCTTCGGTCCGTACTCTCGTCCAGCTGGATCCCGAGGTAGGGGCTGGCGCGGATGTACTGCAGCTGACGGGACCGCAGGTATGACACCATGGTTGCCACGAGCTGAGCGAAACCATACCTGCAACACATAAACATGAATAGCCATTAGATTTGTGGAGCAGCAACACAGATATGCTGGATACAATATCTTACTCGCTGTAATAGGAGCCATTCTCCTTCAAGGGCATGTCCGGCGTGCCCTGCTCAGCCATGAATTGCACAAGAGCAACGAACAGCACAATAGGGGCGTCAGATTTGCAGACGAATAATGCGATTGCCATTAATCTAGCAATTCGTCTAGCGTCGTCGTCCCCCTTGTCGTAAGCGACGATGGACTGCTGCCCTTTCTTCAGGCCATCACGTTGTTCCTTCTGCAGGACCGCCGCCTCGTGCTTCACGCTGAAATGATGCTTGCGCATCGTCTGCTTCTGAATGTCGAGGCCACCCTCACCATAACGGCCGTACTTGTAGTGCGGGTTCCCGAACACCATACAGACGTTGCAGCGCATGCAAGGTCGCCCGTCCTTCGTCTCACTGATGAAGAGCCACGGGAAGTAGCGAAGCCACTGCTCCTTACACCTGAGTTGCAGCCCTTCCACAGTCAGCGGCCGACGTCCCTTAGTAGTGCCCTTCTCCTCGGCTTCGTCATCGTCGTCGGTGGATTGACGAGTCGCGGGCGGGACCGTCTCCGATGGCGCGGGCAATGTCGGACCTGCGGGACGGGCAAAGTTAAGCCGCCGCTGCTTGTATTTAGCTTTCACAGAAGCCCTGTCAGGCAGCACAGGGTTAGCCCGTAGATTGGTGGTTGTTGCAACAGAAACAACGGGCCGGATCGATTCACCGCCAGATGCTGGTATACTCGTCGACGTGGGCGTGGTAGCCATTGGCAAGACGGCGTCCACATTTTCTACGGCCAAGCTGCTGCCAGCGGTGCTGTTTCCTCCAGCGCGGATGCTACGGGACAGTGGCATTCATTACGCATGCATGTATACAGGCTGGCAGATACCCTAACTAGTGGCCCTATTGACAAGTGGGCAGACATGTATCTGAACTGAAATCATTTGTCTTACTGATCATCTGAAGTAAAATCATTTGTCTTACAGATCATCTGAAATAAGAAAATTAAGTCTGAAACGCAGACCATCAGACCAAATTGGTCTGCTAACGAGAGCCCTGGCTCCAACGTGTACGACACTGTCGGGTGTCGACTATTCTTGCCCACCACTACCCATCCTACCAGCTGGCGGCTGGCAGCCGCCACCACTAACCAGTTTTTGCCAAACCATGCTTCATCATGTAAAGCCGATTCAACCGACACTTTGGGAATGCGGGAACAGAAGGAAGGTCAGTGTATCATAAAAGATAACAGCCATGACCAGGTTACAAAACACACCGTACCGTAACACCGTTCTAATACGAGTCACTGAAGTGCTGTTGCAACCCCTGTTCCCAAGGGGCTCCCTCTCCATCAGCTTCCGTGACTTCTCGGAACTCCATCCACTCGCTTGACCCTCGTTTTGACAGCCGGGGCAGGCCTCTACCTATACTCTCCCCTGCAACGCTTCCACCACCTCTTGAGCCCAAGAAGACCACAGACTCTCCCTCCATTGCCCTTCCGCCTGACCCTCCACCCAACCCTCCGCTGCTGCAACGTGCTTGTACCTCCCCCACACTCAGCGCTTGCTCCAGTGGTTCCTGCCTCCCGACTGAGTGCATCGGTGGCGCCTGGAGCAGCGACGGCGACAGCTGCATGCAGTCATGCGGCGTGGATGGCGCTGACATGCCTGCAAGAGTGGCAGCGGAGGGTGGACGTGTGCGGTCGAGCAGTTGCACGATGAGGCCCTGCAGCCCTGCCACCACGTCTCTGAGCTCCTCCACTGCTGCCTGGCTGCGCTCCAACTCCTCCTGCTCTCATACGGAGAGGAGAGCAGGCCAGATGGGGACAAATGGGTGATGTGAGAGAGCAAACAGCCCAGAACTTGCGAGTAATCTAAAATATTGTATGCACAACCCCCTGTCACAACCCCTTTTCCCCACTCACCTGCTTCCCCACCCCCCCTCTCTTTTCCCCCCCACACCCTCACACCTTGATGTGCGAGAGGCTTAGTTTCTGCACGGGCTGCTTGACTGGCTGGGCGGCCTGCCTCACTACCTCTCCGCACTGCAGCACCAACGCCTGTGATAGCTGCTCCAGGCCTGCTTCCTCCTCGCCCCCACCCAGCCACACCGCAGGGCGATGCTTGAGTGAAGAATCGGACTTGTAGGTCCCACGTTGCTGGAGGATGGGGAGAGAAGGACTATTGACCTGAGGGCATTATAATGAATAGCACACGGCAATCAAAACACATCGCAATCACAACTTGTAGTATGCCGCAGATATGGCATTTGAAAGCCATGGCACAACAACTGGCATGTCACTACACATGGAACATGCAGTGCATGCCAAAAGCCCCATCACGAACCATGCCAGGAAACACGCACCGCACGGTCATGGCGGCGTTGAAGGATCATGGAGAGCGAGATGGCATCGATGCACTTCTCCCGCACCCTCAGTGCATGCTGCCGCCGCACTCCAGTCGTGCTACTGGCGGACGGGAAGGCGCGGTGGTTCTCACATCGGCCCAGGTGCGGCGGCGGCTCGTCCCCGCTGCCACGGCTGAGACTGGTGGGGAAGAATGCTCGCGCCCGCTGCATGATCGACTGACGGCGGCGCCTCTGACGGTTCGACTGCAAGGCACACGCGTTGTAAAATAGCTGGTTTGATGGACGCAGGAGCTCCTAAGAGGCAGCAGCAGTGCCTGCTGCAGCAAAGACGGTGCATACAGTTCACATCTGTAATCAAAGAGTCCACTTCCACGCTCACCTACCCAAGACTTCTTTTCAGGCACCCCCTCTTAGTTCTCTCACCTCGTCAGGCCTGGTATCCCTAGCGCCCAGGTCCACAAGGCGGTTGAGAATGAGATGGTACGGCAAGTAGCGGCCACGCCAGCAGTTCCACTTGTACTTGATGATGTGCGCGAGGTCGGCGACTATGGAGGTGGCAACGACATCGCCGTCCTTGACGGTCATGAAGGCGTCGACGATGATGGCGATGAGGAAGTTGAGGAGGATGAAGACGAGCAGCACGATGAACATGAGGAAGAAGAGCATGGCCGCGATCAGGTCCCACGACTCCATGCGCTGGAAGAAGTAGGCCGAGGAGTTGTCGTTCAGCAGCAGCAGGAAGCACGAGAACATGGACTGCAGCACCGTTGAGAACTGCAACGGGTGGTGGGGAGCGGGAGGAGGAGAGGCAATTGAGAAGTTACGGGAGTTAGCAGACAAAAGGGAGAGGCCTGCGCTAGGGTTACAGCCAGCACGCCTCTGTATTTGTACTCCATAAGGAAGCCGAAACCCATGCTGTCATTATCGCGTAAGCACACAGCTATTTTGGCTGTCAAGCCTATCTTTTCCTCAACCGCCAACCTATGCACACTGATGTGGTTTTAAGGGGCAAGGGGCAATAACATTGGCCCAACGAGCTTCTTGGACCCTTATGACCTCGGCCAACACAGTCGACTGCCAACCAATGATATGTTTGACTTTTTTTCTGGTTCAACCAACTCTGCTGGAAAGGACTAACTGGCACTATTCTCTGCTGCCTATGTAGCAGACATATGTGTGTGATACATCGCATGTATGATTGTGCCACACATGGACCTGCTCTGGTGCATACTACACACGTACTACATACAAGCTCGAGTGCACAGGGATGCGCATGCAACAGACACGTACCTGCTCGAGAGCGCCTCCGAAGACAAGGTAGGCGAACATGCTGAAGCAGGAGAAGACGGTGAAGGAGAGCAGGAAGAAGTGCAGCAGCGAGGGCGTGGCGAGGGCGAGCGAGCGCGTGATGACGCCCAGGTAGGGCTGGAAGTCCATCAGCTTCAGCAGCCGCACCATCAGGAAGAACAGGCTGCGGGAGAGCAGGGGATGACAGGGGCAAGAAGGGCAGGAGGAGGTGCGTTATGAGGCACCTCAGCACTTTACAGGTACGTCTGGGGTCAACACTTTACACTTGAGCAGCCGCACCATCAGGAAGAACAGACTGGGGTGGAGAGGACAAGGGAGGGGTGCAGGTGAGGCAGGGGGCAAAGAAAGAAAGAAACAAAGAACGAGAGTGCTGAACGGAGATGCATTAGAGATCTACCTACAATGAGATGTATGTCACTTGATGCCCTGACCTGACCTGACGTCGACCAAGATCTACTCTGAAAAGTGAGTGAAGGCGGGTGGCTCACTTGATGCCCTGCATGGCGAAGTAGACGGCTCGCAGGTTGATGATGTTTTGAAGCTCCATGAAGGCCTGTGTGGCACGCAGGAAGCCCGTGGGCGGGTTGGGCACGGCCCAGTAGCGCGGCATCTCCAGCAGCGTGTAGTAGATGTCGTAGCGCGCCTGCACGTCAAACGCACTCACCCACTGCCACAGCACCATCCTGCACGCACATACGTCACGCAGAGATGGGGGTGATGGAGAGGAGAAAGGGAATTTCGAGCAGCATATGTTGTACCGTGGCTGCACGTCAAACGCAGCGACGCACTGCCATAGCACCACCCTGAAATGCACCAGCAGACAGGTGGAGAAGAGGTTTGCCATTGGCTGCCAGCAAATGCGCACACGTACTGCCATAGCACCATCCTGACATGCACAACAGAGAGGTGGAGGAGAGTGAGGGATGTGGTGACATAGGCGTAGGGGGGTGCGCTAGGAGAAACGATACAAGCATTCAAATGAAAGGTCAGCTGACGTGCATACCCAACGAATCAACTGAACAGAACCACCACTGACGAAACACCGCATAACAACGGCAGCTACTTGCATGGAGATGGAGAGCAAGTCGGCCAGGTACCATGCGAGGGCAAAGTAGGTCAGCACAGAGCCGCTCATGGCAGCATGACGACCTCTAAGTCGATGTAAAAGACCCTCACCAGATCACAACCGCAGCGACTTGCAGGGAGATTGACAGCAAGTCGACGCAGTTCCACGCGAGGGCAAAGTAGGTCAGCACAGAGCCGCTCATGGCAGCATGGTCCGCCATCTCCTGCACCTCGCCCCACACGTTCCACAGCAGCCCCACCAGGTATACAACCTCCAGCACCAGGCGCGCCATGTTGCGCGCGGATGCATTGTACATGGCCGTGGCCGCCGGCTGTGACTTGAAGGTCACGGCCATGCTGCCCCCTGTGCTCACTGTGCACCGCACTGTCGTCAGCACAAACGTGCGCGCCTCGCCTGGCAACATGCGGCAGCATTGGGGAGGGGAGCGATGAGAGGCGTGAGGTCCAAGTGTGCAGGTGCGTGGTGAATGATGAGAGGCATAAAAGTGCATGATGAGTATATACTACGATGAGCAAGGGTTCGAGTTGCAATGAACCGGCCAGTGGACAAGCTGAGTCGGCAGCTGACCGAATAGGTGGCTCATCAGAAGGAGGCGAGCGGAACAAGCTGACCTTGGCTCATCTATGAGCTGGTCATCTCGTTGCAGTCTCGTGCACACCTCGAGTCTTGTCAACATCTTATCGACGAGCCAAGGAGATGGGCTCAGGCGAGCCAACTCAGCTCGACTCGGTCAAGCAAAATCATTGGCTCGGCTCGGCACATTGACGAGCTCAACTGACGACGCGAGCTGTTGGCTGGAATGCTGCCCATTCCCCCAAAACATATGTGTTTATGGACCATTGTTACCACACGGTGATTACCATTGAAGGTGACGAAGCTGACGTGGACGGAGCGCGTGGCGTTGTCAATGTAGTTGCCATCCACGAGGTACTGAAGGCGCTTTGTGGCTGCCTCGTTGTCCAGATTCACGTCAAACACCATCGGGTACGCCGCCACTGACTCCTGCTGCCAGTGGGGCACAGGCAGGGATGGTTGATTTAAGAGGCAAATTCCAGCAAGAAGGGCACAAGGAGATATGAAAGGGACAACGACATAGGAAAGGACAACGAGATAGGAAGGCACAAGGAGATATGAAGCGCAAGAAATGAGAATGCTAACGGGGACGTTCATTTGAAACACGCGTGTTCTGAGTAATCCAATCGATTAACTGAGCCTCTGGTTACAAGGTGAGGCATTGTTATAGTCGCTCAGTAGCTTTTCTATAGTTCCAATCTTGGGCTGCTATTCTTCAATGCTTTTCCAACGCTTGCTGTTGTAGTGACAGTGGCAGTGCAGCATCATGACTCTCTCACAGTGGGGCAGATGAAGCCGTAGGGGAAGCCCTGGCTGACTCACAGTGGGGCGGATGAAGCCGTAGGGGAAGCCCTGGCTGACTCACAGTGGGGCGGATGAAGCCGTAGGGGAAGCCCTGCGCGTTGAACTGCAGCTTGACGCCGAAGGTGCCGTTGTCCAGCTCACTCATGTTGGCGCCCGCAGAGCCGTCGTACAGCGACGAGGACGGCAGGAAGTGCGGGTTCACTCCGTAGGGCTCCAGGGACGTGCCGTTGCTGCACCACCCCTCCAGGTGCAGCACGCTGGTGGGGGGGGGGGGGGGGAGGGGGGACAAGGGGGGGGAGGAGATGGAGAGGAGAAGCAGAAGAAGAGCAGCGGGGTGTCAATGCTGAGCGAAGAGGAATTCGTGGCCTTGTCAGCAGCTGGCGCCCTCAGCAAGTCAAAGAACGTGGTTTCTGCAGCACAGTGAACTCACCCCTGTCCGCTGCACACCTGCGTGCCCCACCGCTCCTGCTGCAGCACCATGCCGATCAGCAATCTGATGGCGAGAGGAGTGAGAGGGGGGGAAGGGGAAGGGGAAGAGCGGACAAAGGTGTATAACTGAGGAGAGGTGGCGTGACAGGATGGACGCATGCTGTGCGGATGGGAGGGGTGCTAAGTAAGAAGGGCAGGGAAATGCATGGCCTGGCATTGCATGGGTGGTAACAGCACACAGCACTGCAGTGGTATGGCAGGCAACGAGGCCCGGTTCATACCGGTTGTGGCGTGAGACAAAGCGGTTGACGGCGACTTCCCTCTCAGCAGCGAAGGCATAGTTGCTCTCTAGGTAATTGGGGCCGTAGCGCTGTAGTGAGAAGGGGAAGTTGAGATCGCTACCCACTGCTGTCGACACACAGCATGCTGGCGAGGACCGAGCAGGAACAGGACAGGAGGGAGAGGAGAGTGGGGGGGGGTAAGGAGTAAGGAGTCGAGGGGAAGATGAGATGAGTATCCGGGTGGACGGGCGGAGAAGAGGAAAAAGAGGGCGGGCGGGGAAATGCAAGACAGACGTTGAGCTGTCTCAAGGCAACACAAGACATCTCAAAGAGAGAGAGGCCGGAGAGGGCGGGAGGGAGAGGGATGACTGACAGCCGTCGTCGCGTCGAGTGTGGCCGGCAGGGCAGGTGCAGATGCCGGGGCCAAAGAGCGGGTCGACACACGCGCAGTCGCCACCGTCAAAGGCGCACGAGGGCGTGTTGCATGCCGCATCGCACACCCCGTTCGCCAGGCGCCGCAGTCGACACCCCGGCGCACAGATGTAGGGCGATGAGGCGCGGGTGGTGGCGGTTGTGTTTGCAGCAGCGGTGGTGGTGGTGGTGGTGGTGGTGGTGGTGGTGGTGGTGGTGGTGGAAGTGAAGTGTGTGGTGGTTGAGAGGGTGCTGCCGTCGGTGGCATTTGCAACAGCTGCGATGCATGCATGGGAAGGGAGCGACAACAAGAGGATAGGAATGGACAGGGTGGCGGTGGAGAGAGAGGAAGCAGGATTGAATCGAATGCAATGAGGGTGGGGATACGATACAACGGAAAAACGGGCGAAGAAGAAGTCATGGATGCAGTGCAACATGCATGCAGCATGATTTGCATGCAGTCTCACCAGCAGCCTCAGACCCTGCCCTTGCAGGCAGCACAGTGAGAACACTGGCAGAGGAGGTGGAAGAGGAGGAGGAGGTGGAGGAGGAAAGTGAGGAGGAGTCTCCAGGCAGAGCGCCATCCTCGTAGTAGATGGTGGCAGGCTGCTCAAACACCCTGCTGTACGTGAACACGCCTGCTGGCTCGCCGTCCATCCCTGGTGGAAAGGGGGAGAAGGTGGGGGAAGAGTAGAGGAGAGTTGCGGGAAGAATGTGGGGGAGGATGCAGCAGCAGACAGTCGGGCAGGTGCACGGTAACAGACAGGCGTGTAGGCAATGTTCTCGTGGGAAATAAGCACCATGCCATGTCACCACCAATACAATCCCCCACTCACTGACCACACCCCCCACTCACTGACTATACACCCCCAACTCACTGACCATACACCCCCAACTCACTGACCATACACCCCCAACTCACTGACCATACACCCCCAACTCACTGACCACACCCCCCACTCACTGAGCACGCACGGCAGGGGGTCGGCGCTGGCGTCGTGCGTGCCCACGTTCATGGGAGTGCACGCCAGTTGCCGTGACACCGCCATGCGCTGCCCTCCAAAGCCCTCGAAGAATGGCTCGCTTGCCTCTCCCATGCCTGCCACTGGTGATGGTGGCCGCGGCGGCGACGGCGGTGGTGGTGGTGGTGGTAGAGAAAGAGGGACGGTGGGGCATGAGGCAGTCCAGAGCAGCAAGTGGAAAGAGACAGCATGGGGCGCAGCACAGCAGGCGTTGCAAATGAAGGTGGTGGGTTAAGCTGTGTAGAAAAGGAAAGGGTGTACCTCGCAGTGAGTGAGGGAGGTCGTCATCCCACACCCACGTGACCTTGTCGCCCACATGGATGGTCGTGTTGTGCGACACACCCGCCCCCCACTGCAGCCACGCCCCCCCTGCAGGATGCAAAACAAGGGAGGTGGAAAATGGAGAAGGAACTGTAGCCAGTCACGCATGCTCCAAATATAAACTGCCATGAGTGGAATCCGTACGTACACACAGATACAACACGCACTCAGTCACTGCCCACCTTGCAGCAGCACTAAACCATTGAGATATCTCAAGAGCCACCTGCCTATAAGTACCTTGAGAACAGCCGACAGCACGGGAGGAGACAATGGCGTCGTCAAAGGCACGCAGCAGCACGTGCAGGCGCGCAGCAGCGTCGTCACTAATAGGCGTCACGGACCGCAGCGCTGCCACCACCGTCTGCACGAACCGCTGCATGTGCTGCAATGAGACGGCACGCTGCTGCATCATGCTCCCACGACCACCGCCGCCGCCACTGCTGCTGGCGTGCGTGCGCTGCAGGTACGCGTTCAGGTCTGCTGCTTCCACTACTTGGTGCCCCGCGTGGTCCATCAGCCGGCACTCCTCCATGGCCGTGACAGGCCCTCCCAGCATCGTGCACAGACACGCCACCATGCGGCGCCTCATGCCACCCGGCCCTCCCTGTGCGTGATTTATGTCTACTCCTGGCGCCCGGCCGGCCAGGCACGTGTCCTTGGCCATGGTGAAGAGCGCGCGTGATACTGCCACCTGCAATGCTGTCAGTCGCTGCCGGTCCGTGGCACCCAGGAGCGACCAGAGGGATGGAGCCGTGGTGACTGCTGCGCTTCCTGCTCCGGCTGCTGTGGCTGCTGCTGCTGCTGCTGGTGGTGGTGACACTGATGGCGGTGGTGCTGCTGGCGCTGGTGTCACTTGAGCTCTCAGCGGCCCCTGCATGTGCGTTGCTGCTGGTGCTGTGGCGGCAGCAGAAGCAGCAAGAGGGAATGGCAGCCACAATGATGCGGGTGGAATGCAATAAGCAACTTGTACTTGACAAATTACTTGAATAATTTTCCAACCTGGGCTGTAACAAGTGCATACCTGTTGACGTGTTGCACGGAGTGTTGGAGAATACTGAAGCAATGTCCGGCTAGCAAGACGAGGGGAAGGCATTAGAGGGAATTGTGAAAGATGAGTGAGAAAAGAGTGAAGTGGGCTGATAGTTCCAGGAAAGGTGAGAGCTGGAGTTGTGGGTGGACCATAGAGTGCTGCCCGATAATTGGCCGCTGCTCCTAAAACAATCAGACTAAATGATGATATATTTTAAAATACTGCCACAAAAAAAAAACAGGAATCCTGCTGCCACACACCAGAGCATAACACTTCCAAAGGTCCTACGGCTGTTGATCATCTCAGCCCAGCGGGCATGAGGTGAGTGGCTACCATGGGACAGGGGGTGGCGGCATAGCGCATGATTGTGGAGGGCGCCACAACGCACATGCGCGCACAGTCCACAAACGCCCCCGCCACCTCCCTCTCTGTGACCGCGCGCCCGCACGATGCTGGCAGGCACGTAGCCAGGCTCTCACACGTCTGCACACACACATGCATGCATGGATGGATGGCATGGACAGATAAGATGAACGGATGGGGTTTAATATATTAGAATCTCATGCATTGGAAAGGAGAGGCACATTCAAATTATTGTGAAGGTTGCACATGTGCGAATGCGATGGAAAAGTTAGCAGCCTCAAACACACATTGCGGCAGCAGCAGCAGCAGCAGCAGCGGCGGCAGCGCCACTGGGCCCCTTCTGATTGGCCGCCACATCCACGTCATCAGCACTCGCGCAGTCCCCCCATGCCGCCAGCTGCACGCTGCTGGCAGAGCCAATGACGGAGAAGCGGCGCGTGCCGGGAGGGGGCGCGTGCACGGCGCCCCTGATGCCCCCCGAGGGCGCGTTGAGCACCACCACCCAGTCGCCGTCCGGTACCTCCACCTCCACCGCCACCTCCCCCCGCGCCACCGCCTGAAACGCCTCGTACCTGATGATCGGACGCGGTTGGATCGGGTGGATGGGGTGGGATGGGTTTGGATGGGCTTGGTGGGATAGGATGGAATAGGTTGGGATGGGATGGGATGACTACATCCATAGGATGGGATGACTACATCCATAGGATGGGATGACTACATCCATAGGATGGGATGACTACATCCATAGGATGGGATGACTACATCCATAGGATGGGATGACTACATCCATATGATGGGATGACTACATCCATAGGATGGGATGACTACATACATAGGGCACTTGCAGCAACAGCGTAGATGCTTCCTTTGCAAGTCGGCTCAACATACCAGCAGAGGGAGACTGGGTTGACCATGCAGAGGTTCCAGGAAGGTTCCTCCGCAGCCCCCTGGCCCAGGTCATCAAGCTGGGAGGAGAAGGTGATTACGATGGAAGTGAGGTTGGGGAAGGCGCCGCAATCCGCTTGGCAGCCGAAGCGGCCGAATGCGGGGAACTGGAAGGGGCGGTCGCACGTGCCGTCGCCACAAGGTGGGTCCGCCCAGAGGTTCTGAGGGGCCGGCAGGGAGAGGCGAAGGGGCAGGTGAGAAGCGGAAGATCCGGTGATAAGTGTATGGGCTGTGGTGAAGGTAATGGAACGCTGTGATGAGGCATGGGTGTGTGGTGGAGGGCAAGAGGCAACAGGTGCACGAGAGGAGAAGCATGCACCAAGGGAGAGGAAGAAGACACACTCACACGCAGGCCAACATATGCACAGCAGTGTTTGAATAAGGAGTGCATTGAGAAGCGGCCCACCTGCACGACGGTGCTGTTGAGCCACTCATACAAGTCAGCGGGGCCCGCAAAGGTGTTGGATGCGTCCGCACCCATGCCCTGGCGGCATGACGAGGGGGCACAGTGGGAAGCAAACAGTGCGGGAAGGCGGTGAGGAAGGAGAGGAGGCGGCAGAACAGTGGGGTGGGTGACAGTGAGAGCATTACAACGCACACCAGGGGCTTCGGAGATCACAGGAAACACGGAGGCAGGGAGAGGAGAAGAGAAGGAGAGGAGAGCAATCGATCACACCAATGGGTGGAGCATGGAGCGGCAGAGGAAGGGAGTGAATGGGGGGGAGCGTACACGGGGGTAGAGCACGGAGTGCGCGGCGGTGATGTCATAGGAGCGGGAGGAGTCGGCCTGCAGGTAGAGGATGGTGGTGAAGAGCACCATGTGCAGCAGGAACACCCCCAGGTCGCGGTACTGCTGCACGCGCTGCTGCAGCGCCACCACTCGCGAAAACGCCTCTGCCACATGCGCAAGAGGGAGGGGGAGCGGGGGGGAGGACGACGCGCACAATGGCCGTGGGCATGGCATGGCACGGCATGGCATGGCATGGCATGGCAGAGCACGAGGGCCTGTTGTTCTGCAGCTGACTTTGCGGCGGATGAAAGCAGAGGCAGCCAGGAAGGTGGGGTGGGGATGGCACACCGTGCAAGGGACACGCATGAGGTGCAGAAAAGGTAGGTAAGTACGACGAATTCGCCTTCTGTGTATGCATGTGGAGCACCGCCACCGCTCTGAACCTGCGCGCACCTTGCAGCACGTCTCTGTCCATCTCGTCCATCTCCGCGTCCTGCAGCAGCACGTCACTCAGCGATCGCTGCAAGCTCGTCCCCCCCATGCTCCGCCCCCCCATGCTCCGCCCCCCCATGCTCCGCCCCCCCATGCTCCGCCCCCCCATGCTCCGCCCCCCTACGCTCGCCCCCCCCATGCCCGTGTGCGCGCCCCGCGCCATGGTCGTCCCCATGGCATCCGCCGTCAAGCTGCGCTTCAGGGGAGCCCCTTCCGCCAACCTCTCCGCGCCCGTCCCCGCGCGACTCCCCACTTCGCCCGCTTCTCCGCCAGCTCGCCAGCCCTCACCGTCGCCGTCGTAACCCGGCTCTTCCGCGTCGTCGCTCTTCTCAGCGACGCAGTCCGACGGATGGAACGACGAGCCTGCCGCGACACGTGTCATGAGCTCCGCGTTTCGCGGAACGAACCCGTGGCTATCGAGGAAGTCCAGGTTGTGCTTCGCGCGGCTGCGCGACCCCCCCGAGGGATTCGAGCCATGGCTTTTCAACACGAGAAGCGCGGAAAGAATGGGCGGAGCGGAGGAGAAACTAGATCAGTGGGCCGAAAATTGGAGTCGCCGTGTCGGTCTTTGGAACGGGAAACGAAATGCAACCATGCGAAGAGCGAATCAGAAGAATCTTCAACAAAGGGCGCATTCACAGTAGGTAACTAGCCGCATTACTACCTGGGCGCAGCGTGGGACTTGGAGCGGAACCACATGCGGCAGTTGGCCGCCTCGTACGCGTGAAACTTCTCCTCCAGCAGACTCTCCGACCGCGACAGCAGCGCCGCGTCCGCCTGCTTCTTCGCGCGCACCACTGCGACCGCCTCCGCCATGGATAGTACTACTACGAGGAGGTGAAGCAGGCCTGCTCGGACATACTACTGCAGCATGGGGTGTTTGGAGGCGGGGTAGAGGTAGGTCGGTGGCGAGGAATACCATCAACGTGGCGTGTGTGTAGATGAGGCCATCCATCATAATGAAAGCGAGCGGTTGGCTGTAACTCGATGGGGTGCGGATCTTGCAGTTTGAGTGGAATGACCCGATGGTGCGAGGTTTGACAGTTGACCAGACCTTGCTGTGAGACAAGGCCATGCCGACAGATAGTGTGATGGCGGTGATCCTTGGTGGAGAAAGGAAAGAATCCAAATCCATGAAGTGGTGGATATATGCAGTTGACATTCAACATTGCGTTGCGCTTCCGCACGGACCCTATGGCTGGCTGGCACCCCCCGACCCGTGTGCCTAACGATCCGGCCCACCACTGTGAAGGAAAGTGGCAAAAACATCAACCCAGCTCGCGTGATTGCCCCCACCTTTTTATACTTTGATCAAACCTCTCTCGAACAAAATGCATCTCGCAGAACCGTAGTGAACCACCGAAAGTACAACGTTGTGCCAAACCATTTGTTCTGCTTGGTGAGTTGATGGCACGAGAGTGCGGGATTTTCCTACTCGTCATAGATCAGGTCATTTGTGTTACGAGAGCCCATTTCGTCAAGGAACAGTGTCAGTTGGCTATAGTGAATCTACAGATACATCTCTCGTGCGTGGCCATGCAGACACCTCAACTACCGTATTTCTCCTTGCTAGAGGGGGTGGTTTGTACCAGACAAAATACCTCTTTCTCTGTGAATTCAGAAAAGTGTACAAGCGAGTATGAAGAACCAGACGAACCAGAGCAAGAATGAACAATAAAATATGAGTCTGTTTATTATACCATCCAGCGAATTTCATCTGATATCGACGTCCTTGCACGGGGCAGGACCTACATACATATCATGTGATCTATTGAAAGCACATTGCTGGTGCTTGCCATTGTTCATCGAGCAAGGTAGCGCCAGGTTCGAAAGAGAGCACATGGAAGATTCCTCCACTTCCAAGGAAAATCCACTTCACTGGAAAACCAGTCTGCCAGCCAATACGCATCCCAAGCCAGGAAACGGAAAGTGCAGTGAGGGAAGCTGAGGTGAAGAAGCAGACGCAGCAGGATGGCATTGCAGCTGCGAGAAGAATGCACCACCCAACTAGGGGCTGACGAATGGCAGAATCTTAGATGCAGTGAACCAAGTAAAGCAAGCCGGTTCTCATGCCGTGCAACACCATGCGATAGAAAGAAGGGAGAGAGAAGAAGGCACCTCCATGTCCTCGTAGTAGAGGATGAAGTCGGCCTTGGTCCACACGCGGCACCGGAACTTGCCGTCCACCACCTCGCCCTCCCTCACCAGCACCGCCCCCACCAGCCAGTCCGGCCGCAGGATGCCCACTGGGAACGTGATCACCCTGCACGATCGCTCCTGCAGGTTGTAGTAGAAGCTGCGCACGTAGGGTGGCGCATGGGGGAGACGGGAAGTGACGGCCAAGGGTTGAGAGGAGGCGGCACAGCGAACGGTGGCAGACCCAGCAATGGGCAGCAAGAAGTAGAAGCACCTGGACCACCTGAGACCACCTGGGACCACCTGAGACAACCTGAGACGACCGGGCTCTACAATTCCTTCCTTCCCCTTTCCAGCGCAGCAATCGTTGCTTTGCTGCTCCCTTGGCACTCTCTGCCGATTCTCGCATCTCCGCCCCTGCCCCCATTCACTCACACCCCACTCCTCTCACTCCCACACGTACCCCAGCCCTTCTTCGCACACTCTTTCCCCCCACATCCCCCGCCCCTGCGCCCGCTCCCCCGCCGCACCTGGTGCCATTGCTCCACTCCACGTCCATGAGCGTGCCGGGCGACAGCTGCGGGCGGATGGCGTTGAGGTTGCGTCCGCCCGGCCAGTCGTACCACAGCTCCGTCAGCGCCAGCCGCCCGCTGCGGTTCTGAAACAGCACCGCGTGGAACCGCTCCGGCCACGGCCGCGGCGCAGGCGGAAACGGGGTCGGGGGCTCCGCGGAAAGCCCGGAAGCGGAGGCAGACGCGGAAGCTTCCGCCGACGGATTTTTCGACGGATTCTGTTTCTCCGCCGCTGATGCTACGGACGATGCTGTCTGTGAGCTCGCGGGTGCTGACACGTGATCCGCATCTTGGGCCCGCTGGATGCCACGAGGCGCGGCACGGAGCTGCTGGAGGAGCGAGTGGGTGGGAGGAGCGCCGGGGGGAGCGTGCTTGTAACGGGGGAAGGACGACAAGGGGGTTGGGTTCCCACGAAAGGTAGACGTTACAGTGGCGTCGGGAAGGGGGAGAGCAGCGAGTGGGAGAATGAGGGATAGAAGGAGGAGGAGGTGAGGAGACAGCCGCGACACCTGCGACGCACGACTAGTGAGGAGAGACATTGGGGTCTGCTAAGGGAACGAAAACTAAGCTGAACAGAGCCGGTTGCTCGAAGCAAGGGTAACAAGCAGGAATTTACCAGCCGCCTGAGCAAAGGAAAGGAGGGTTTCGTGCATTCCGCTACTGAAACGACTACACCATTTAGAAACACCAAAATCGCATCCATACAAGTTTCTTCAAGTAACCAGGTGCATTTTGCCACTTATCTTGTGTAAGAACTAACAATCCTTACTGTACTCGCACTTTAGCAAGTACATCCGGAGGGCCATGAAAACACCTTACAAAAATATATATATATATATATATATTATAAGCGCACCTGCGCTACTATCCGGGGCCATACGGTATCATTATTCCGTAGTTCAACATTCTCCCTATTCGTTAATCTGCGCAATTTGCAAGTTCATTCATAACACCTGGTATCAGAGCTACTTTCCTAGCCTACCCCATTTTTTAGAGTTTAATATCCCTCGGGGGAGGGCAGGAGGGGGGGGGGAGGGGGGACGGGGGGGTGAGAGAGACAAGAAAATAGTTATGGGGTTTATGAATTGTGTGTAGGCTCGCCAGGAGAACGAATTAGTTGCTCCTCGCGGCCATTATTTTTCGGGGCACTCCTTGGCACTGCCGGATCCTTGGCTTGAACGGTCGCGATCGACCGTGACCTCCCTCCTTCCGAACAACGGACACCCGTTTCTGTCGCGACATCAAACATGAGTTAATTTCGCTGCATGCGACGATTTCTGAGTGATTTTTATATGACAGCTGGCTTTAGCAGACCTGCGTCGGCATCTGCACGAAAAAGTTGGAATCATCGTCACGTGCGGCAGGTGGCATGGCTGCTCGTCGACTTTGGCGCTTTAACGGGAATGGAATGTTGGCCCCGCCCTCGCTTGGGCAACGCCGACTTCCTGGTCCGGTGCACGGAAGAAGCAACCGACCGTACGTAGTGGTCAACGTCGGCCTGAGCGAACATCTTAACGGGTTCCGTCGAGCTGAAGGGGACCGCTTCGGCGATGCTGTCGATGGGGAGCCGACGACCTACTTCGACGGGGCAAGTCGACGAGGTGGTCGTTGATCTACACAGGACAGCCACGGAGCTGGAGCTGTCGACGAGGGGAGCTCGACGGCTGCAGCTAGCCAAGCTGTTCGACGGACGGGCCCCCGACCAAGGAGGGGTTATCGACGGGCGCGTTGGTCGACGAGGGAGGTCGTCGACCAGGGCGCGTGCTGGGTGGTCGATCCGGTCGACCAGGTAACCTGCTCGGCGAGTTTTGCGGAGGCACGCGAACGTCGTCGAGGCTGTGATGGCGAAGGTGACTTCGAGCGGGTATCTCGAAGCCAATGTGGCCGATCAGGTGCAGACAACAGCCGACAAGCATGTGATGGTGCATGTCGGGTCAATCGTCTACGAGCACCTTCGAGCGTGCGCGTTACTGTCATCTATAGGTACAACGTTGGACGGCCGCTTTGCTGCAGCGTTGGCACGCCATCGACCTGCACTGTTGGCAGGTCGCCTCTCCGCAGCATTGGCGCGGCTCCTCTACGCAATGCTGGCAGGCGGTTGACCATGTAGTGCTGGTGGTCGACCTGCCTGGCTGCTAGGTTGCTAGACTATGATATAGTCATTCTTGCCATTGCTTGTTCATTCATCTTGCAATGAGTCCAACTTTGCTAGTGGAAACTCTTGCCATTTTCTCCGTGAATGTGCAAGTGCCAAGGAACGCATGCTAGCAACTACGATTAGCACCCACCCTGAAGTCTAGAGTTAATCTCCGCATGGTGAGGTGAGCGTGGATCGAATATGCAACCTTCAAATAGGAGCCGACTTTTGTAGTAAGTCGTTCGTAGGCCGGCAGCCGTCTTAGTCGCCATGGTCGACCTCGTAGTTGAAGTGGGCGTAGTGGACACATTGGAGGCACGATTGGCTGATGCGAGGAGACGCCACGTGGCGGGTGAGTATGGGTTGACCCTCCCCTTGGAGGTCGTCGAGCTGGGCATCCGTGCAAAGTGGGCGATGGAACACCCTTCCTGACCTGCTTCTCCTTGACCGGTGCAGAACAAAGGCGGCATCGACGAGGTGGTCGACAGTGGTGGCACTGTCGGTGGCAATGAGGGCACAAAGAAGATCAGTGTGATCAGATCCATCGACGGTGGCTTCGACGAGAATCAGGTGCAAGTACAACACTCAACGACAACTGCAGGCAGCTCGCGTGTCGACGTCGACGGACGTCGTCGCTCACCTCAGCGAAGCAGTGGGAGGCCCGCGTCGACGATGCACGTGACGACGGGAAAAGATTGGACTGGCGTATAACTACTACAAGTTTTCACCGGACAAGATCGTCGTGGCTACGCCACTGCATGGTCAACACGGGAGGCCGCGGAGCCTCAGCTTGAAATCGCCAGGCTGAAACGTTTCGCCGACGACGATGTGCCGGTGCTGAATGCGGATGATGTCGACTTGCTGGCGGAATTTCGTGCTGCACACCTTCATGGTCATCTCGACGTGCAGCTCGCCAATGGTGCAGATAGTGCTGAAGCCATGTCGACAAAAATTGGACGCTGTCCACCAGGTGTGGCGGTTCGTCCTGTCGACGTACCAGGCGACGAACGACCTGTACATCGGACAGCTGGAGGAGCAGATGACACAACCTCTGGATGGACGTCGGCTACTGCATCAAGCTCAACAAATTATTGCCGAGATGAGGATGGCGTGCGTCGATTATTCGACGACGTCCTACACCACACGCGTAGTCAAAGGCTTGCCAAACAGCTACAATCTGATGCGCAGGATGCTGGTGATGTCCGGCACGCGTGAGTCCCTCGACGAGGACTCCCTCACCAGCTACATCATCAGAGACAAGGCGACGCAGGAGGCAGAATGGCCCACGGAGCAGGCGAACTACGTTGCACTGACGGGACTTAGTTGTCAGCAAGGGCGGCGTGGGAAGCCGGGCGGAGGTGGTAGCGGAGCTGGGAAGTCGACGAAGGACGTCGTCGAAAAGAAGTCGGCTTGGGGAAGTGGTCGAAATGGTGGTGGTCTGCGGCGACTCCGGCCTGTCAGAATCCCAGCCACTAACCACTGGGATAAAAGGGCTTGTTTGTGTAGCGGGTGAGTGCGCCCATAACCCCCCAGGCCAACATGCCTGTAACCCTTCCCTAGGATCATCGGGGATCCCCAGTGGACCTCTGACACCCCCCCGCACTGGGATGCCCGAAGTGCACACACCGGGAATCGAACCCGAGACCTTCGCTCTGATACCATGTCAGAATCCCAGCCACTAACCACTGGGATAAAAGGGCTTGTTTGTGTAGCGGGTGAGTGCGCCCATAACCCCCCAGGCCAACATGCCTGTAACCCTTCCCTAGGATCATCGGGGATCCCCAGTGGACCTCTGACACGGCCACCCCTCCTTTGAATGTCACGACCACGAAAACAACGATGAGGACGGCAACAATGGAGGCCGCGTAATGTCGGCTGATTGTCGTCCGCATCAAATGAGAAGCCGCGCAAGGAGAAGCAGATGTCGGTGAAGACGTCGACTCCTTAGTGGCAAGGGCCAAGGCAACAGGGAGGCGCTGTGCTCGATGGTCATCGTGGAGCGAGAAGTCCCACTGGCTCCGGAGGCTGGAGAGGACTTCCGGGCGGTCGCGACTGAGGTTCAGGCAAACCCAACGGTGGTCCTGCTCGACAGTGGCTGCTCGCACCGTCTCATGGGGACGAAGGAGGTCTTTGTCGACATGGCGCCGAGTGGCGACGTGAAGCATGTGCGCGGCTTCAACGGGGCTTTGCAGGTTGTCGAGGGGCGTGGCACCATCGCTCTGCAAGGGAAGGCCGGGAAGCAGGTCCTTATTTCCGACGTGCTCTACATTTTGGGTGTACATGCGAACTTGCTATTAGTTGGCCAGCTGCAGGAGAACGGTGTGAAGCTGCAGGTTGATTGTGAAAGGATGCTGCTCGTGTCAAATGCAGGCGAGGTGCTCGGTCGAACACTCTACTCTGGCCACGTCCTCTCCACTGACCTCCATTCCTGTCGGCGAAGCGGTCGTCGAATTCGACCGACGTGATGTCCCTGCGGACTATAGCTTCAACGACCAAGTCGACCCCCGACCGGTGGCACGCGAGGCTCGCGCACGTCGGGACTGACACGCTCAAGAGCACGACGAAGCATGAAGTCGCCACCGTCCTCGACCTCACGTCGTCGACCGGAACCGACCTGCCGTGTGTCTCATGCTTCAGAGGGAAGCTGGCGCAATACACCTTCCCGGACAAGGGTTTGGATGTAGAGGAGGCCTTGGCCGTCGTGCGCATTGACCTGTGCGGGCCATTTCGGGTGGCTGCCAAGGACAGTGGTCTGTAGTTCCTGCTGCTGAAGGACTGCCACACGGTTTGTGTGGGCGATGCCGGTCGCTAAGAAGAGCGACGTGCTTCGGCAGTTGGAGAAGTGGCTGCTGCTAGTGGAGCGGCAGACGAATAAGTCGGTGCTGATGCTTTGCTCCGACCGGGGAAGGGAGTTTCTCACAAAGGACATCACCAACTTCGTCGACGGGAAGGGCATCGTTCACGACTTGGCGAGCCCGTACACTTCGCAACAGAACGGCATGGCGGAACGAGAAATGCGGACGGTGGTCGAGTCCATGCGAATGATGCTGCTGCACATGGGCGTGCAGCATCACTGGCGGCACCTTACCCTGCAGTAAGCTATCTGGGTGCATAAGTGCTTGGAGCAGTCGACAATGCCGCCGGGGACAACTCCTTACCAGCTGCTGACCGGGAAGAAACCTGATCTCACTCTGGCACGCGTGTGGGGCTGCATGGTGCAGTTCATGGTCCCCGAGCAGCAGCGCGGTGGGAATCTGCTGCCCAAGGCTCGCTGGGGCATTCAGCTGGGAGTGTTGTCGGAGAGCAAGGGCTGGGACGTGCTCGATCTGACGGACAACAAGATGGCCACGTCATTCGAGCTCATCTTCTACGAAACGCTTTCACTGGAGGTGTGGAAGGCGA